TCAGCAGGACAAATCCCAGATGTGGACCTGGGGTTGGGGTGGGAAAAATGCTTTTAAAAGTGGCAAACAATAACTTTTAATTTGCCACTCTTATTTCAAAAGGGAACCAGGCAGCAGTCTCTTTGTAAAAGAGAGAGAAAGTGGGCCACAATGCCGGGATATCTGTGGAGTCTTTCTTTTTACTATGCTGAAAGGATTACGCTTTTAAAAAGAAAGAAAAAACTAAAGACCTGTACCTAATCACTTCCCCTGGTAATTCCTCGGCTTGATTAGAAGAGGGGGACAGAGAGTGTAGAGGGATATCAAGAGGATTTGAGAGGAAAGGCACTGCTACCTGAAGTCTGTGTGCGTCTGAATTGATTATGTACAAGATTTGAGGTTATGGACAACTATTGTGAAGGGAATGTTTACTGCATTGGTTCAATATTTAATAGGATTTATATTTTCTTATTTTCATGACACCACATTAAATATTATGTCCACCCTGATTATTGTCCATTGCTGAACGTAACAAAGACCTAATATGTTTAAAACAGTTCAATATTAAAGATATAGTTCACAAAAAAAATATAATTAGCAGAAAATGTACTCACCTTCAGGCCATCCAAGATGTAGATTAGTTTGTTTCTTCATCAGAACAGGTTTGGATAAATGTAGTTTTACCCTACTTGCTCGCCAAATGGATCCTCTGCAGTGAATGGGTGCCGTCAGAATGAGAGTCCAAACAGCTGATAAAAACATCACAATAATCCACAAGACTCCAGTCCATCAATTAATTTCGTGTGAAGTGAAAAGCTGTGTGTTAGTGAGAAACATTTTAACATTAAAACATCACTTCTGGCCAAAATATAAATTCATAATCCATAATAATTCTTCCTCCAGTGTAAAAGTCCATCCTCACATCAAAATCCACCCACATATCTGTTTAGAAGTGTTTTGGACTGTTTTTGCTTGTAAACGCTGCTTGTGCATATTTCTCTCCTGATTCAGACGAGGCAACTTTTTACCTGGAGAAAGCAATATTATGGATAGAGGACTCGTGTTTTAGCCAGAAGCAATGGTTTGAAGTATAGTCTTGGGAAAAAAAGTCTTGACATTAAAAAAAACGCAGCTTTTCACTTCACAAGATGTTAATTGATGGACTGGAGTCATGTGGACTACTTGTGGATTATTGTGTTTGTTTTATCAGCTGTTTGGACTCTCATTCTGACGGCACCCATTCACTGCAGGTGACCCATTGGTGAGCAAGTGATGTAATGCTAAATTTCTCATCTACAACTCACACATTTTGAGCAAATGTTAATTTTTGGGCAAACTATTCCTTTAATGTGTAAAATTAAATGTATTACATAAATGTACTTTTCATCAAATTTGCATGTCATTTTAAGAATATTTACATATTTTACTGGGAAACATGACAAAATACCATTTAAGATTTTTTTTTTCAGTGTAGTTAATTGCCACTTGAAGCATGAATCATGTTTAAAACCTTTTCCAGTAGTATATATACCACATCAATATATTCACACAACTTTTCCCCTTTTATCTGAATTGCTGTTCACACATCAGCACTGAACTTGTAAAGATTAATTTGCCAGAAATTACCTTTAAACAGCTGCACCATTCAGCACCTGTCCAATTTGAATAATTTTAACTTTGTATAATTTG